AAATCATGCAAATATTACTGTATCTGGAAACAGGCTGAATGCCTTATTCAGCTTTAAATTGTACTCAGAAAAGGCCTTCTGTTGTGATTTTGGTTGTGGAAATCTTGATTGAACCTTGGGAATGCTGAAAAGCGGCAAATAAAGTGTTCTGTTCATTCATTCATATTGGAACCAAATGTTGAGAAAGCTTCTCAAAGAAAAATGAATAAACCAGAAGAGCTGCAGCCATGTACATATTCTTAGTTCACTGTTTATTGCATATTTATCAGACACAACATGAGTGTACTAAACTCATACAATGTCTTTTTGTTGGGTCAAATGCCATCAAGTAAAACTGCTTTGATTTTCTGACCAAGACTAACCAGGAAAACTCATCAAGGAAAAAAGCTAGAAAATGAAGCCTGGTGAGTTTTTGAGATGGTGATTTTGCATATTTGCAGGCTTGCCAAGTTTTGAAAACACAGCAAGTGCTGTGGGATCTCAAGGTCATTTTGAATCTCCTGCAATTTATCTCAAAATGTATAAGTTTTTGAAATTTATGTAAAATTTTGGCAGCATTGTACAGCAGAAAAAAATGTTACCTGGTCTGTTCCAGAAATTGTCACAGGTTCTCCAGGGCACATCCTGGTCCATGGAGGCCAAGGTGTAATGAATGGACCAGGCAAGTATAACATTGAAATACACACTAGTAAACCAATTGGTTACAATGGCTGCATACCCAACTCCTTTCCTTGCAACAAATTTGATCAATTAAAAAAAATAAATCAACATCTTTGCTTGGAATATCTTTACTTACCTCCAAAGAATGGGCAAACATGAGAATAGCAGAGAGCTGGCCCCATGCCCAGGTACTGTCCAACTCCCAGCTCAAGAGTTAGCATTGGTATACCCACAAATATTAGGAAAATCACATATGGAACCAATATTGCACCTATATAGGTTGAATACACATGAATAACCTTTAATGCAAAAATTGAAAATAAATCACAAACATATTAATTCATGGCTTCAAAATAATGAAGACTACAGTATTTCAGAACATTCATTATTCACAATCCTGGATAGAATTTCAGATTCCTCCAAAGAATCATATCATCAGTATCATGTTGAGAAATTATCTAGATTTAAAGTTGTGTCTTCATGATGCAATCTTAAATCTCAAGGCTTCAGTTTTATAGCAACATTTTTATACACAGTATTTTAATTATAATTAGATACAGTACTTTGAAAGAAATCATGCCCAGAAAATGGTTTCATCATACAAGATCATTCTCAACTTTATTACAGTATTTATGTAATGCAGTGATACACTGATCTTCTTTGAAATGATTGTGTGATTCTTTGATAAAATGTGTGTCAAACTGTTGAGTACTATAAAGAAGGACATTTATTTTTGAATAGGGCCACCAAAAACTATTAAAAAATATTCCACATTTCATATCATTGATGGGAGCACTTATTTGATTTTTTTAAATAATACATTTAGTGAAAAAAACAGCTCTATATTGTGAAGGGAGTTTGGCTGAACATTAATTAAACATTAAAATCAAAATAAATTTTTATTTTGTGATAAAGTGCCAAACCTCCGCCTTGTTCAAATGCGACGTATGGGAATCGCCACAAGTTGCCATAGCCTATGGCCAGACCAAACAGGGCCAAGAAGAATTCCACCCTCCTTGACCACCTGTCCTTGTTCTTCAAGATGGCCGCCTGCTCCCTTTTCGCGCTTTCCGACACTTCGGAAACGCCATCCCCAGAATCCGACAACACTGAATTTCGCAAAAACCCAGTTGACCCAGTGCTGGAAAGAGGTGTTCCAGTATTATTCCTTGGCAAGGGATTGGTTGATGAAGGAGTCGCCATCTATTGGCTTTCTTCTTCAACTTGCTGTTCACTTTTTCTATATTTTTCTTTGTTTTCTCTTGCGTTTATGGCTGCAATGGTTTTGATGGAAAAGGTCAATTTAGCTATTGTTCTTATGGCAGCTGGAAGAGGGATTAAGGCTTAAATTTGCTCTTGGAGCACAGCTCTGAGCGTTTGGGGGAAAAGTAAAACCTGATGAAGATTGATGGGGTTTTAGTTCATTTATCCCTCTACTTGATCATGGTGTCAGTTAATGAGTTGAACTGTTGAGCACTTAATTCCTTGCCCTTATTTTGCTGCTGATCTTGCCTATTGATTTTTTTCTGCACTGAAGCTGGGATATTTTAGCATGAGAAATAATCCTGTTCATTATTTGAGGTCACTAAAAATGCATTGTAATGCTTGAAGGAAGATCTTAGTATAGCATGCAAAGAATCTCTCCAGAAAGAAGTTTGAAAAAGCTCATCACAAGTCCTTGTGAATGCTGAGGAAGTTGCCTTGACTTCCTTTACTTAATACAAATTCATGTTTTGAATAATTCCTTACACATATTTTGCTGGAGATTAAAGGCATATTTCTGTACTGAAGCTGTAATGTTTTAGAAAAAATGCTCCAGTCCAAAAAGAGCAATGCAAAATTCATATATACAATTGGAAGATTTAAGAAAAGGGCAAAATAACTGCCCAAAATGAAGTTTGGCCAAGTTCCACAAATGTCTGGGAAGGCTGAAGAAGATCTCTTGATTTCCTCTATTTTATATACACATTGAGAAATCATAGAGAGGGAAATCAATTGCAAATTGTCTGTCATGAGCATCTCTTTGAAGAATTATTTTGGGGAACACATTGGGAATTGGAAAAGTAAGAACTGAAAAGCTGAACTAGGTGTATCTGAGCTATAGCTAACCAAACACACTGAAATATTAAAAAAATCTGGTGAATATACTGTATTTACATTGAACAGCCAATGAAACAAAACACTACACAGAATAAACTCATTTTGCTGTTTTGCCAGAAGTTTTAAGTCTTCTAGCATCTTAGCTTGTGCAAATCCTGATGGTTGGAGATTAATAAAGCTCCTTGATGGTCAAAAGTGGACCAAAGAGATGACTTTAAAATAAATTTGCTTCAAATTCCATCAAATAATCAACTGTTTTCAACATAATTCCACAAATAATTGGCAGCAATGTTTTAAGAAATTCATGTCCTTGAACTGCATGCTTTCAACAGCATATACCATATGTTTGCTTGATTCCATCAAAGAAAAACAACCTTACAGAAATACAATTTCCCATGTAATGCAGTATCACTCAGAAGTCAGAAGCAGTTCATTCAAGCAAAAGAAGAGAATAAAAAAAGAAAATGTGGAAAGAAGTTTTGATTCAAGGCCAGAACTTTGGATATCCACCCAAGTATCCTCTGGGTGGCAAGCTTATCTCAGGTCTTGAGAAGATGACCTCATCCCTCTGCAAAGGTTGCACAATCCTGGAAAATTCCTTGGTTGACATCATGCACCTCCTGGTGTTTGGTGGTCCAAAAGTCCTTGGCTCTCCCTGTTTTGGAAAACTTCCACGCGGACTCTTGTTTCCACTGCACATATAAAAAGAAGGAAAAAACCAAGAAATACTTCTGCAGAAATTTCAAGTTCTAATTACAGGGCAAGGGAAATTGCAAAGCAGACAAATACAGTGGCCCCCCGCCTAACAGACCTCCCGTGTAAGGGGTTTTTGCCAAACAGACCAGCTCTGCAAGCAGTTTTTCCTCCTGCCCAACAGACAAAATCCACCAAACAGACTTCTTTTGGTTTAAAATTAGTGTTGAAAATTGAAATTTTCAATTTTTTATGTAATTGAATTTGTGTAAAGNTTTAAAATTAGTGTTGAAAATTGAAATTTTCAATTTTTTATGTAATTGAATTTGTGTAAAGGACTTTTTGTCTAACAGACTCATCCCTTGCACAAATCAAGTCCGTTAGACGGGGGTTGACTGTACTGTACTTTGATGAACAGAACATTATCTTCACATAATGGCACTCCTTCCAAGTTGAAAATTGTGAGAGCAATGAAAGTGGGCATTGTAAATCTCAGAGCTAGATATACTTTATATCAAGATTTGAATGCATTAATGGGAAAAAGGGATGCCTTATATTGACAAAACAATTTGGCTGTCTTTTGAATACGTAATTTTCTATTCATCACAGGCCACAGTCATCAAGTCGCATTCATTAGTATGCATCACTGATGGTACCCATAGCATGATATCATTCCATCATGTCAGCTTCAAATTCAACTCCATTAGCAGTTCATCAAGTGTGATTCAATGCCATTATGATAACAGGTGGATGGTTTTACCTTGGATGCTTGCATGGTTTCATTATTTGCTTTTTTTTGGACTTGATGAATAAAAATACATGTGCACATGATCATAGGATGCAAGTGTATGAATCATGATGTAGAATGTTTACATACATGCAAGTTTCAATAATTTTTGTCATTGCATGTATATAGTGCACATACAGGTAAATTTATACATAAAATGTGGGTTATCATCATCAAGTTGTGGCACTACTATCAGCACATTTCAAAAATATATAAGGGACATATTTTTCATTAACTCAGGTCATTATCAAGCTATGTTATTTTTCTTTGTAACATTGATGAGATAGGTATTTATATTATGAATTTAGATTGGGGCCTAAACAGTGTAATTGTTATTTTCCTTTTTTCAAGCTAGGTTTCCATACTTATTAAGTAGTTAATCTGATAAAATTGGTTGTTATTATCAATTTATGTTCATCTGAGCATCCCTCAGCATTTAGTTTGTTCTGAGTTTTAAGGCTATATCCCAGTGATAAAGAAATGCAGTATATTGTAGCAAAATGGTACTGCCACATGGAAACTGAGCAAATAAACCAAAGGCTAAACTACAATTTATGTTTCACATTTTGACTTCTCAACTTGACCAATTGAATTTTTTCATAGATCTTATTATCTTGTTGATTATGAAACAAATTAATTCCCCTTAACATTCTTAACAAATATACTGTACATACTTCAAAGGGTGCAGGGAATGGATCAAGGGTTAGTTCAGGGATCAATAGAAGAGGGGATGTGAATCCAATGATGTTATGAAATGACAATGAATTATTACTGCACAACTTGAGAGAAAAGTGTGTTTTGAACTCACTGGAAAAAGGCAGGACAGTTCTTGAGGCTCACTGACACATCAGAGGCAGTGTCATCATCACACTTCTTCTTATGGTCTTTTCCTTTATTACCAGAGCAAGAACAAGATGTCTGCTGTGTCCTCTCATGGCAGCAATCCTCACTGCTGCTCTCATCCTGCATCACATCCCTGGCACATTGCCTCTCACGCATCTTCCTCCTCAGAAACATGACCAGGCAGAACAACATTGCCAGGGCAAGAATGCCAATGAAAACCCCAATAGTGATGATCCACCAGGGAGTGCCTGAGGAGCATGGGTCACAGGCTTTTGCTGATGCAGCAGGGTTTATTTTTTCAGCATTTCTGCTGCCATTGGTGACCATGTTGTCCAGAAGAGTGTGAGAGGCCCTGAGGATATTTGTCTCTGTTGGTGATGGTGCTGCAGGAGTTGGGGTTGTTGTTGTTGTTACAGGCTCCTCCTCAATTGAGGCATCCACAATCCACAAGGGCTGGTCTGTGGACATGGTGGGCTAATCAGGCACAAGAAAGAAGAAACAGGTGAAAGTTTCCTGCCCTTCATTGCTCTAGCATGTTCATTTGAGATTTTTTTTTTGGTTGCCAGCTTTCCTGGTATCACTCATCAACCTGGAAAATGGAATCACATATTATCAATAATCTACAATTCTACACTAATTCATTGCATGATGAATACCTATAAGTTTATAATAATGTTTCATAACAGAATGCATCTGCTGTGTTCATCATCTGTGCTTCAAGTGCTTCCTAGAACTGCACTTACTGATGATGCACCATTGTATGGATGATTCTTATGGACACTTGAAACTTTAAAAATCAGCCCCAATTTTTTTCCAATGTCTCAAAAAATGGACACCCTTCTAAAATGTATTGGATTACTGTAGAAAAATAATTTGCCAAATCTTTATGCCGCAAACAAGTTTTGTAATGGAAGAAACTTGCTTTTTAAAATTTCAAAACTTTCATTCTACAGTATTGTACAGCAGGCACTTCATCAAGCAGAATTTCACTGAAAAAGCTCAAAACAAAATCACAGTGCGATGAAAACCCCCAATGCATTCAGAAATTTTGATTCAGGGACATTTGAAATTCAAAAATATGCCCCAACATCTGGACAACGTCTCAAAGATAGCAATACTTTCCAAAATACAGTCAACCCCTGTCTAACGGACTTGATTTGTGCAAAGGACAAGTTAGACAAAAAGTCCTTTACACAAATTCAATTACATAAAAATTGAAAATTTCAATTTTGAACACTAATTTTAAACCAAAAGAAGTTTGTTTGGCGGATTTTGTCTGTTGGGCAGGAGGAAAAACTGCTTGCATGCAGAGCTGGTCTGTTTGGCAAAAATCCCTTACACAGGAGGTCTGTTAAGCGGGGGGCCACTGTATGTATCAAAATGTAAAAATGATATACTGTATATACAAGTTTGATACCTGTTGATCAAATTGAGCAAGTTAAATTCACGAAAAATGATAATTTTTTGAATATCATTATTAAATTTACTTGAAATCATAATCAAGAACAGACTGATTATGTGCTTTTTTCACAATTGTTTTCATCATCTGTGCTCAGTATAAGAGGACTGGTGCTTGTTCTTTGCTTCCCATCATGAGCTGCTGATGATGTCAAAAGATCAGATGCTATGTGGTTTTCTCTTTTAGAGTTAGTTTATGCATCTTCAAGGAGAAGGGGACAATTTGTATTCAACTTTTGGGTGGATTTACTAATTTTTGATTGAAAGCAGGAGAATCAATTGCATATACAGTCTTTGCATTGAAATCAATATGAGAATATACACTGCACATGAAGCAACATAGGGACAACTTCCAAGCACCAATTATCTGTGCAAATTAGGATATACTTGACAAAGGCAAATGGTTTCAGAAGTAGGATAGTAATTCATCCTCTTCCCCCAACCCATGGCCCCCAGATGGATTTTTGCTGCTAATAAGTTACTTCAGGCATAAATGTATCACAATGAGTAGCAATGAATTCTGTTACTACACCCTTACTAATTATCTTTACTGCAAATACTGTCCCATAGGTTCCTACCAGGATCCCCCACCCTCAGAACCCATCTGAACCTCGCGGGAGCAACAGCTCACGTGGGGGATACCCCTTGCGGAGGGTATTCAGGCCACCTAAACTGAAGTACAAATGTGTACCAGTAGGCTGAATTACCTTTTGTGAAGATTTACCTACCAGTGATCATAAAATATTTTATACTTATTTCCTGAAATAAAAGTCATGATGAGTGAATCCTTTTCCGAAAACCACCTTACGCCGGCTTCATTCTCAGGAACTTGGACAAATAGCGCAGTATGCAATTTTCAAATTTGGAAATTCTGAAAAATCATGAAGATACAATTCTATGTTTCCTCTCTCGAGAGTCAAGAGCATGAAATCTCAAACACTTTTCAATTATTCGCGCTTTCTTTAACAATAAAATTCTAAATGGGATCGTCTTTACAAATATATTTCATGGAAAAACATAAAAATAAACATCAATTCTTGCAATTGGTGATCCCTGGGAAGTATTTAGAATTGGCATTATAGTTTGGGAATGCACTATATTTCAAATTGTGGCTTAAAATTGACGTTTCGATATGATATATTTTGTTATACTGTAATATATTTTCTAAGTACGATCAGATAAATTGTACGCTAATAAGGTACAGAAATAAATACTTCATTGGTCGTCAAGCGTGGAAAATCATTTAATTTTTTCCTTTGGGTACTTGAATCTACTTTTTCAAGATAAGGCAAAAACGGGGAAAAGTGCACATTTCAAGTGCACATTCGATTCAATTTCGCAGGTATAAAACCATTCCACGGATTCTGCATTGCAAAATTTTATTCATATTTTGAACTATACTTGGCCCTCAGGCGATATATACGCATTTTTCTTATGTATCCTTTTTATAACTTTAAATTCCAACTTCTATGGACATTCAAAATATTGTTGACCAGCAATCGTTGGCTCCTCTGTTGACATAAAACTATTTTAAGTTGAGAATTAAATGATCGTCTTATACTGACTACTACGATAAACCTCTAAATTACTCATAATAGGTTGCCAAGTATGTTTTTTCCGGCTCTAAAATTTCGCTATAAGAAGTTTTGACGCAGTCAAATATTCAGCACTCCTGAATTTAAACGAAAAATAACTATTACGCCCAAGAGGCGTAATTCTTGCTTTATATTATGTAGAGGGACGCTGAACTAAAGTTCATCTACGTCAAGCGCCTCTTCAGAAAATTGAGGCTGTAAGCATTTTAAATTACTTCCTGTTTGCTTCGAGCGGGGAAGTATTTCGCGCATTTTTAAGTACTTCCGGTTCACGTCGGAAGGAAGGTTTTTTCCAAAGTGCTTGTCCAGCATATATATATACTTACGCCGAGCAAAAGCATGGGGTCTCTTCATAAAACGAGGGGCCATAAACCATTCATGAAGCGTCCGCGAGCAATCCATAAAATTCCTCCGAGCAGAAATCAGACTTTTCCGCCGAAACTGCTGGGGGGGGGGGGGGAAAGGATTTCAATTTCCCCGGCGAGACACCCGGGAGGTGTATCACTCCGATGCGCGTACAAAATGAGACCACATACTAACCTTCTTTTCCTCGGGAAAAAAAGAGCCTTACGGCGGGATTTTTCTTTGCTTCCCGGAAAAGAAACGTATATATACAGTGTATAAAAAAAATAAAAAAAGACCGGGAAGAATAAGGCTTCGTTCCGACACTCAAAGGTATATGGGTTCGAACACAGCACAGCATCGCACACAGCCAGTGTGCTGGGATCTTTTTGAGGGCAACATTCAGGAGCGACAGGATCCAGAAAGAGGGGGAAAACGCATTTCTGGTCGCACGTGCCCAACAGCAGGTGATTTGAGGACCCGCTCCTTCCTCGCAATCGAACCTCAATATATACAGTTCTTGGTCCCTTCCTTCGTATTGTATACACCGTTTTTTTTTATATCATTCATTTTTTTTTTCTCTCCACGCCGTCTGTGGAACAGAAAGAAGATGGAGAAAACGTTGTGAGATGAAAAGAGTACCAGCAGTGAAACCTGGGGATAGATATACGGCAGCATTTGGTTTCGGATCAGCTCCAAGAAAAATGCATGAACTAATGTCCCCCAGGAAACAATATCTGAGGGACACTTGCTGAGTGATGTGGAGCCATCAGGCGTTCAGGGAATCCTTGGGGAAATAGACAGGAAACGGATGATTTCCCGCTTTTTTATTATCTTCGAGAAACGTATTGAAAAACGAACGACGACCGTACTTTCTTCAGCGGTACTGTATATATACCACAAGCCCTCAAATAAGATGCAACCAGTCATTTTTTTAATTTTCAAGAAAATTGCATAAAAATATATCACCGCGTTTGACGTCCATCATATTTCCCCGTCATTTCCGTGATCGAAAGTTTTACAGTAAAAAGAGCACTTTGAAATTTATTTTAATCCCAAAATAATTTTGGAATTCTTCGCAAATAAGATTAAATAGCGATCAAATTCAACTTAATTTGAGGATGATCTGATTGTTTTCAATTTCTGGAAGTTTTCGAACAATTTTGTTTATTAAGATGAATCTGAAATGTCTCGTCAAGTGACTCACGCATGATCTGCACCAAAAAATAATCACAATGGAAAAGTTTAAACTGTTTTTGATGCGCAACCAATTTATTCCGTTAATTTTTGAATAAATGTTTGCATATGTTACACGTGTGGACGTGATAAAATCTTCTTTGAGCCTTTTGGATTTTATTCATAAATCAGTCGTAGCTGGTTATATTTTTACAATTTTTGAATCAATGAAGAGGATTATAGAGGATTTTTTATTTTCTTAATTTTTTCATTAGAATTCCAATTATTTACAAGGAAGCAGTGTAAGTCAAGAGTAAAAATTTCACTTCATCACTGTGAAAAAATTCATTTTCAATTTTCCACGAACTTTGGGGTAGACTAAGTGTCACCAAAAATTCCAAATGACGATTGAAATAATCTTTGGAAATTTTTTTTCGCACGCTGACAACCACCTTTGAAGTCAAAAAAGTTCTAATCTTGCTGATTTCCGTGCTGTCGACGCTGATTATGTAGGTAGTTCTGAAATTTCTTGTTGTAAAATAAAACTTGCATATATACTCGTATGACAGCCCTGTAATGTTGAAAATGCAGACAGACTTCCATATATTTTATGATATCAAACCCATCGTGATTCGGGGAATTCTGACTCAGATACTTCATCAGCCACAGAATTTTATTTGCAGTTGCACCAAACAATTATGAACCTTTGAAGCATCTCTTCCAGGCAGGGAAACATATTTATTTCATGGCTGCTGTCGTATCATCATCTGGTATTCTTTTTCAATATAAGATACAATACAGTACTGAATTCTCCAAAAAGTAAAATTCCTCGTACATCCTCTGAAGTTAGAAGAGTGCATAGAACTTCCCTTTTTGTGGAATCTCAAGATCTAGATTCCCCCGGATACAAAATGTGTCAAAAGAGTTCTATGAGCATGATTCATGGTTTCCAGCGACATATCCAGGAACATTCCGCAGTTGCAGAAATCAACGCAAAAGTTGCACTTTCTCTATCATAACTCTAAGGTTCCTCCAACAGAAAGACGGAGAACGCGTAGAAAACCCTGACGCATGTGCAAAAAAAAAAAAAAAACCGAAAGAATGCGAGCAAAAATGAAAGGAGGAGGAAAAAGGGGGAGAAGCTAAGTTGTCAGGCAACGTTCGGGTAAGAAAAGCAGGAAGTAGGATGATTAATGTGCTCTTCCTACAATTCATATTCTTTTCCATGCTCTTTTTTTCTCTCCTCTTTTTCCACTGCATTTCGTTCTTTTTTTTTTTCTTCTTCTTATTTTTTTTGTTGCGAAGTTGATCCCTCCTGCTTTGCACGTCAATAACTCCTTGCTTTCATTCCGCTATTTTTCCGCTCCCGTTCACATCACACTTGGCCCCCTCCGGACGGTTTCGCTCGGATTCACCCCCATTTTTGCCACACACCATATCAAGGGTACTTCGTAAGGTTTTTAAAAATTCAAGGTTGCGGGAAGAACTCAGAGAGACAATTTATTTTGCATTCCCTTCTTACCAATTCTTTCTTTGACCTTGGATTTAAAAAAAGCATTACTCAATAATCGATACGCTAAGTGGGTTGGAAACATTATATTCTTCCCTCGTGGGAAAGTCAGCATCTGATGGGATTAATCCGTCCATTTTTTCGGTACTCTAATTATGATCCATTTGCGCCGGTAAAATTAATTTATGATTTCTGCAAAAGCATTTTTGAAGCAGAAATTTGGTGATTCATGGACTCAGCATTGCTTCGTCAGAAATCATTCGGTTTCTTCCCTCGCTTACGTGAAAAATACTTCAGTAAAACATATTGAGCTTATAGATCGGTAATTTTCAAGACCACTCACTTGCTTTTGATCAACTTGACAGCCGAAAATAAATTGGGGGAAAGCATCATGCGAAAAAGCAAAACCTGAGCATGCATGGATTTAAGAAACCTGATTTAATTGCAATATAGAATCATTCAATCGAGAAAATTCCGAAAGCAGGTGAGGAGCAGCTAAATACTGTAGATGTAAAACGGACTCAAAGTTTCTAGAGAACAAATTAACCAGAGGGTACTATTTAATAAAGAAAACATTTTTATGTCATAAGAGGATTCTTCGGATTGAGCATTTAGCTTTTCTGCTTGACCTATCATCATATGCCACATTTTCTTGGGGTTTCCGAGCAAACCATCATTCACTTCGTTCCCCCTTCAGGATCAACTATTCCATCCTGATTAATCCGTAAAAATGTCTTTCATTAAAAACGCGGAGAAAAGCTGGGATTTCACCTATACATCTTATGAGGTCTAGGGTCTTTAGCTGAGACTTTTGCGACGAGTCAGGGAAGTGGAAAGATGAGTCGAAGCCCTTAGCATTATTATAGGCAAGCAAGACACATTTCAGAAGCTGATTTCGCGTGATGGGGGTTCGTTCATGCACTAATTTCTCGCTGCTAATGAATGTACTCGAATTTGACATGTTGAAGATGGGTTGCTTTAGAATCGTGAACAATTTTTCCTCCAAATTGTTCCGAAAATGCATCTGCAAAACTCTTTTGAAGCCGCGAAAATATACTAGGATCACTTCGACAAATTTTGAAGCCGCAGTGAAGCGAAGAAATGATTCCCAATTTTCAGTATCCTTTATATCTTTATGTAGAGAGGATGGTTTATGTTTTACCAATGCACAAATAATTATCCGTTCTCTGCATGAAAAAAAAAAGAAACGAGTCGAGAATCAGCAATCAAAATAACGTTGATTTTTTTCTGATAAAGTATTTCAATGGTTCAAAGGATTCCTGCAGCTTCGAGGGGGAAAGCAGTGTATAGTACAGCAACGGAATATTCAAGAATCAAAAATTTAGTGTAGGCTGTTCTCAACTATAGACGACTTGAAAAATAGTAAGGAAAATGTTTTAAGCAATTTTTGAACACAAAGGAAAGAATAGTTGTGTGAAAAGTAATGCATGGATATCAATTATGAGAAATGATTTTCGGCAGAAATGAAATGCCTCTCCCCTTCTTTAGATGTTTTTTGCGCACATGAAGCATAAAGAGAAGAATTCTTTGGCATGCGAATGATAAACAGTATCTGAAAATGAATGGGACAATGTGATTTTTATGTGCGGAAATTGTATCTCTATTTGAGTTGAACAGGGGCTATGGAGAACATGGAACAGGAGTATTACCCACAATTCTAGCCATCAAATGGATTTTTCAAGTAAACAACACTTTCCAGCTTAGTAAATTATCGACTTATTGCACCTTCTTTTTTCATTTTTTTGCGGGGATTTTCGAGCTCAATAACTTCGAGCATGAATTGAGTTGTTGTTATTTACCCAAGAAGATTTTTTCTGACAACCAAATCAAACGATAATCATTCGAGTACTTCTTCAATTTATTTGAATACTTATTCATAATCAAATTTAAATATGCTTGGAGTGACCAATTATCTCCCACTGCATTGTATTTTTACAAAATGATCGATAATTTTTCTATACCCAATTCAAGGTAATTTGCATCTCCCTGAATCTTCGTCAGAAATATCGCATATAATGTTTGTCGAGTGTAATCTAGAGCATAGAGAAACTTTCTTCCGAAAAAATCCTTCAGTTTTCTCCTTTGATAAACCAGCCATCTTCTGAATACTGTATTCAATTTTCATGTATGTAGTACGATTTCGTATATAATTTTCCAACGCACGGTTCTATGTAAGTAAAGGACATTTTAAACTGCCGAATTCTAGCCAAAAATTGTCCCAAGATTTTTTCTCTGAAGCCTTGTTTTTCTCGCCGAAATCCTTTAATTTCCTCCATTATCCTAAAAAAAATT